TCTCATTCGTCTCAAAATGCCTCGTAACGGTTTACGGTCCAAGATTGGTTTGTAGAATCGCAATGCTTGCATTCGTCGGAAAATGCGGATGCAGATCGTATTTTAGGTAGATGCATGAAACGGGCGACGAAGTTCGTCTACGCATAAACAGTTCCTATCAAGCAAAGGGAAACCAATGCATGCAGAAAACAATGGACAGCGTTCGTCACCGTGAACATGTCGCACACTGCAAACAAGCGTGAGACATGCAACATGACACACATTCAGAACCCAGGTCCAGCCAGCCATCTCACAGCCCCGCAGCGGGGCTGGTATGTGGCCTGTATGGCCCGCGGCTGACGAAGTCCTCAGGAAACGCGCTGGCCCTCCGTAGCCCTCTGGCGGCCGCCGCGCGCTGCGCACGACTCGCCACCTGGAACGCGTTGTGCTTCATCAGCTCGACGGACAGGAGCTGGCTCCAGTGGTTGACGATGCTCTCTCGGAAAGCTGTGTCCTTCTCCATGGGAATGGATGTGGGGCGAGGCTTTCGTTTGGCGAGCATCTTGAGAAAATCCATGGTCTTGTTTCCCCATCTGCCGAATGTCTCCGCAGCGAGGGGCACGAAGCGGAAGCCGGCTGCTTGGGTGATTGGTCCATACTTGTCGATCTTGTCTTGATGCAGATCTCATTCACAAGTCACACACACACAATTGCATAAATTATGGTCAAATTGCATATGCCCGTGACACCTGTCTTTTGACGTAGTCATCTTAATTCATTAGTTCGACGACCACAGTCAGGAAGATGTAGTCCTCGCGTTGCGCCCACAAGACGGCCAACTGGCCAGGGATCGCATTCACCCGACAGGATCCGGGTCCCACCCCTCCTCACCAGCCATCGGTCAGTGCTCCCCCCTTAGAGGCCCCACCACCACTGCCTCCACCAGCACTACGACCCACTTCGCTTCCTGCATCTATGGATGGATGGACCAAGGCACCGTTGGTGATGACTGCCAAGGAACGGGGTCCTACTTGTACTCGTCCTAACCCCTAAACCTCCCCGTTCCTTGAAGTAGAAAGTAGGACATGTAGTACGAGCTCGAGAGGTTCCTCACCCCCGCCCACGTGGTCATCCTGGCGGCAGCCACGACTCAAGTAGACCCGCGGCATTGTCCGAGAGCGACGGGGAGAAAATCGAAGGTGATGATGACGTGATTCATCTGTTCATCGAGAGATCGTGCACGCCTCCGGGGAGGGTTTCGGATGACCGGGAGGGTATAGATCATCGGGTAGCGTTCTTGCTTTTCAGTACGTTTATCAGCACGTCGTGTGCCGCTACAGCAATTTACAAGAAATGGAGCGCCAAGGAAAGACAGGCACTGATGGTTGATCCGTCGCCTTGGACATGCTTCATCATCACAGCCCAGCGTCAAATGAGTCGCATGCGATGCCGCTACTTGTCGTCCCCTGCACTGTGTGTAGCGTCTACACCATTCTGCCTCGGTTGTTTCTCACCAGCTTTCCCTTCCTCTCCATTATTGGCGTCAAAGCCTGCGCCCTCGTCGAGATCAGGCAGATCTGACGGGAAATAAGACACGCCGGTGTTTGAACGAGGTACGAAGAGCCTGTCGGCCCGTTGCCGTCTCCTTACCATCTTCATTGTCGTCATTGTCGTCACTGTCCTCTTCCTCGCCTCCCATTCCTTCCATGCCGCCCATCCCGCCTAAGCCGCCCATCCCGCCTAAGCCACCCATCCCACTCAACCCGCCCATGCCGCCAAGCTGCGAGAGGTCGAGGCCGTCCATGCCCATGTCGAGGTCCTTGAGGTTACCCTCCTCCTCGTCGTCCGTGTCAACCCACTTGTTCCAGTCGCACTTGAGCCAGTGCAGCTTGCCACCCTCCTTGGTCAGCTTGGGCCATCGCGCCTCCTCCTCCTTCACAAGCTTCAGCTGGAAGTTACGCGACTGGGACTCGTAGATCTTGGACTCCTGCATAAGCACACATCGCCCCATCTTGTTATCCGGTCTTGTTATGCCACATCCCTGCCCGTACCTCCTTCTTGACAGGCGCGTAGAGGTCGAGTTTGAACTCGTAGTCGGTTTCTCCCGCATGCGCCTTGAAACGCAGTGATTCAGACTCCAGGTCGATCTTCAGGCTATCCTTCTGCACGTCGTCGCACTGCACGTCCACAGTCAGGAAGATGTAGTCCTTGCGTTGCGCCCACAAGACGGGAGGATGAACGGTCTTCTCACTGAACGGCAGAAGATGGAGATGATATCGCACGCGTTTGAACTGACGTCTGTCTCACCTCATTGCGTCGATTTGTTTAAGGTTGCTCTGGGAAGGCGGCCCCCAGCCGTGAAACGGAGGTAAAAAATGAAGTCACTTGCGTTCTCTTTCATTTCCGCCTCTGCCCTGCTCTGCTTCACTGTATTTTCTGGACGACACAAAAAGCGCAGCGAGAGGCGTTTGGTTTCCTTGTCTTCTGGTGGTGTTGCGGTCAAACATGTCAATGAAACGTTCTCCACCGAGGTCCCGCTGATGACCTTTCACGAGATGATGTCGTATCTTGACAGTGTGATGACGTCTGTCGAAAGAGAGTCGCTCCCGAAGACTGGAAGCAAAAAGATGTTGCCCATATTTCAGCTTATGGACTCCTACCTGACAAAGCAGCAAGATCTTGCGGCCACTTCCCCCATGACAGAAGAGCGAAACCGGATGGCAAGGCAGCTGGCATACACATTGGCAGCTCACGACATGCGAATCCGGCATAGCTGCCGTGCTTTGAGGGAGAAGCGGGATGTCTCAGGCTACAATGCTCTCAGGGGAGGGAGATACTTTTTCGGGCTGACACTGCAGAACGCGGAAGAATCGCTTAAAGAGTTGGTGCTGCAGCTGCTCGACATCATCGACTTCCTGGGGCCAGGCAATGTCTACCTGTCCATTTATGAGAACGGCAGCGAAGATGACTCGAAGGACTTTCTGGTGAACATGGATGTACTCCTCACTCTCTTCAATGTGGACCATACAATCGTGACGGACATTGAGGGGCGACCACATGATGTTGATGCAGTCGAGTATCTTGCCAAAAAGCGCAACAGGGCGCTCGAGCCTTTGATGGACGGAGACAACGGTTCATTCGACAGGGTGGTCATTCTGGACGGCCTCCTCTTCTGCAGTGCGGACGTCCTCGAGTTGCTACATGAGGCCAAAAGGCAGGGGGCTGACATGGCGTGCGGCGCTGACTTCCGATTGCAAGAGGGCGAGAACGAGAAAAGCCGACGTCTTGCATTTGGAGACACGAAGACAACAATAGATATCACCGGTTCTCACTTCCTTCCTTTCCCCCCCAATGCCTTCAGCCAGCACGAAGCCACCCGAGACCGCCTCAAGCGGACTCTGCCTGTGCAAGTCACTTGCTGCTGGAGCGGGCTTGTGGCTCTCAATCCTCGGCCACTTGTCGAGGACGGGCTCACATTCCACCACCGAGACAACGAAGGCGAAGAAGGGGCGTGTGGTGCGGGTGAGCGCATGTTGCTGTGCCAGGACCTGTACCGCAACGGGTGGAATCGGGTCATGTTAGTCCCAGCTGCCAAAGCCGTCAGCTCGCATGACCACGGATGGAAAGAGACGGATAAGTTGCGCGAATACGAAGAAATGCAAAGGGTAAATCGAGGTTTCAATCCAGAACCCGTCGAGTGGGCGCCTGTAAGTGGTGAGGTCGCGTGTCACGAAGAGGCTAGAGATAAGACAGGCACACACACGTTCTTTGTTGGTGCTCCAAACCATCGTGACAACGGGGCTACTCGTGGACGAGCGAGACTCCTCCCACGAATCTCAGTTCTACAATCTTGGCTTTCGTCGAACTAATGAATTAAGATGACTACGTCAAAAGACAGGTGTCACGGGCATATGCAATTTGACCATAATTTATGCAATTGTGTGTGTGTGACTTGTGAATGAGATCTGCATCCGCATTTTCCGAGGAATGCAAGCATTGCGATTCTACAAACCAATCTTGGACCGTAAACCGTTACGAGGCATTTTGAGACGAATGAGATTGAATTCACGCACCGTTTGATCCCGTCTCCGGCTCATTCTCAGTGAAGTTCTCAGGAGAATGGTGCTTCGCTGATAAAGGGAGGGAGGTGTTCTAGCAGCACCTGACCCCAGAAATTCGATACAAGCCGCCCACAACGGGCTGTGGGTGCGTGCGTGTGTAGCTGTGTGTGTGCGTGTCTGTGTCATTCATGACGAGAAGGAGGAAACTCTCTCTGTCCTTTCGGGGCTCGCCGCTCTGCGGGCGAGGCACGCTCTTACCCAAACTTCGTGTTCGTTCCTAATAGATCATTCTTGTCGAGAGATTTTATATTCGGTACCGTGTTTCTGCATGCAGCCCCCACTCTGGCGCGGCGCATGCAGCCGATGTTATATCTTGTGTTGTGCAACCCCATGCAGCCAGTCGCCGTCGTTGCAGGTGATGTAATCATATGCCTCAACGAGCTGCCACTATCCTCCCTTGCTCGACCATTTTTAAAACCTCCCAAATGTGCCGAAGTGTGCATGCAGCTCATGCGATTGCGGGAGGGGGGAGGGAGAGAGGAGGGGGGGA